ACATTATTAAGTGAACAATTATCTAATCAATCTCATTATGATTTTGGCTTACGTTCACTTAAAAGTGTACTTGTTATGGCTGGAAATATTAAACGTGAAAAAATAAAAAATAATACCCAAGATGAAGATGAACAAGAAGTAAATCCTTTTCTTTTTTTTATTTAAAACAAAAACAAACATAATATCTAAATTTAGATTGTTATACAAGCAATTATGGATAGTTTTGTTCCACGTCTTGTTGCAGATGATTTAGTTCTATTGAATAGTTTATTAAATGATGTTTTCCCCAATGCAAAATATAATCGACCATCAATGACTCGTCTTCGGGAAGAAATTGAAAATGTTGCTAAAGAAATGTTTCTTGTTTGTGAAACATTATGGGTTGAAAAAGTATTACAATTATATCAAATAACAAATCTTAATCATGGTTTAATGTTTGTTGGACCAACATGTTGTGGTAGGACAATATTAGTTATTTAACATAAAAGAAGCTTTTTTGATAATGAAAAAATGAAATATTGACAGAGAAAAGATTTCGAATAAGTAAACCACCCGCACTCACCCTTAATTAATATTTTTGAGGATAGATAAAAGTTTCGATCTTGAGGGTGTGGGCGGATGTGGATATGTATCTTCTGTTAATCCGCATCCACACATCCTCATATGACTAATTACGATGAATTTTCAGAAATAGTGTCTGAAGCTAACATTTCTACTAGCGATTAATAATAGTTTGATGAGATTATCTATAAATCTAGTGATGAAAATTATATTTTATTTGAATAGGTAAAACAATGGCATGGCGTGTTTTATTAACTGCATTAAATCGAATTGAAAATTCTGATGGTCAAGCACATATTATTGATCCAAAAGCTATATCAAAAGATGATCTTTATGGATATATGGATCAGAATACACGTATATTTTTTTAAAGAATGATTAAATATATTTGTTTTGTTGATTACATAAATAGGAGAATGGACGGATGGTTTATTTACGCATATTTTACGTAAAATCATTGATAATTTACGTGGTGAATTATCTAAAAGACAATGGATTATATTTGATGGTGATGTTGATCCTGAATGGGTTGAAAATTTAAATTCAGTTCTTGATGATAATAAGTTATTAACATTACCAAATGGTGAACGTCTTGCTTTACCACCTAATGTTCGAGTTGTACGTATTTCGGCTTATTTATTTATAAAAAAAATTTGTTTTTTTAATTAAAATTATATTTTAGATGTTTGAAGTTCAAGATTTACGTCATGCAACATTAGCTACAGTATCTCGTACAGGTATGGTTTGGTTTAATCAAGAAACTGTCACATCAGCTATGTTACTTCAATATTATTTAAATCGTATTCGACAAGAATCTGTTTTTGATATAATTAATCAAGATGATCCAAATAGTAAAGATACTGTTATACAATCATCAGAAGAAAATAAAACAAATATATTAGAAATACAAAATCATTTAGCTGATTTATTAGAACCATATTGTAATAAAGAAAATGGTTTAATTCTTGATACATTAGAATATGCCGGAAAAAAACAAGTACATATTATGGATTTTATACCAGCTAGATGTTTACAAACACTTTTTTCAATGCTTAATCATGTTCTACGAACAATTATTAAACGACAATTATTTTCATCTGATCGAACACCATTAAGTGAAAAACAAATTGAACAATATCTTGTAAAATCATTAATTATTTCAATGATATGATCATTTTCAGGTGATAGTAAACTAAAATATCGACAACAATTAGGTGAATTTATAATGAATACAATTAAAAATAGTAATATCACATCACCAGCTGATAAAAGTTCACCAATTGTTGATTTTGAAGTAATGAATCATTTTCTGAGAAAAAATAAAACTTTTTATCTTTTTTCTTTCAATTGAAAGGTTAATTCAGAAGATGAATGGGAATCATGGTTATTAAAAGTTCCATCAATTGAACTTGAAGGAAGTAAAGTTGATGCAAGTGATTTAGTTATACCAACAATTGATACAATTCGACATGAAACACTTCTATATACATGGCTTAATGAACGTAAACCTCTTCTTCTTTGTGGTCCACCTGGAAGGTTAAATTAGTTAATCAAAAATTCCTTTTTGTTAATCAATTATTCTTCTTGTATTTTAGTGGTAAGACCATGACTTTATTTAGTCCGCCTGCCGGGGAGGTTTTCTAAACTTCCACAGGGACCTGTTACTGTTTTCTAACAGTAATAGGTAGGCGACCCTGGGCTGCCGGTAGCCATGGTCCTGTCTTTAGGCTAGCCCCCTGTCGACAGGACGTAAAACTTTTCTGGCTAATGAAAAGACAAGAAGTAAGTGCTTAAATTTTTTTTGTTTGTTGATGCATTTCTTTTTATCTCGCCCAAAACCGCAAGGTAATATAGGTATACTTACTTACTTTATTTAGTGCACTTCGTTCATTACCAGCATGTGAAGTTGTCGGTTTGAATTTTTTTGTGCTACAACACCTGAATTAATTCTAAAAACATTTGCACATTATTGTGAATATAAAAAAAAGCTACATTAGGTGTTGTTCTTCCACCAAGTCAATTAGGCAAATGGATTATTGTATTTTGGGATGAAATTAATTTACCGGATGAAGATAAATATAGTACACAAAGAGTAATTGCATTTTTAAGACACTGTATCGAACATGGTGGATTTTATCATACATCAGATCATACATGGATACGTTTAGAAAGAATTCAATTTGTTGGTGCTTGCAATCCACCAACAGATCCAGGAAGAAAACCATTAACACATAGGTAAATATAGATTTTTGCCTATGAAAAAAAATTCTTATTCTTTTTTAAAGATTTTTACGACATTGTCCATTGGTTTATGTCGACTATCCAGGTGAAATATCATTAAAATAAATTTATGGTACATTCTATCGAGCAATGCTGAAAAAATTTAATAATATTAAATCATCTGCTGATTCATTAACAAATGATATGATTGAATTCTTTCTTCCGCCACAAGTAACTTGAATACAATTGATTTTAATTAAAAATAAAAGTTTTTTTTATTTAGGAACAATTTACTGTTGATCAACAATCACATTATATTTATTCATCACGAGAAATGACTCGTTGGGTATAGAAAATTAATTTAGAAGAGACAATATTATACATATATATGCATATTTAGGTTCGAGGTATAAATGAAGCTATTCGACATGTACAAAGTTTAAATGGTGAAGAATTAGTTCGACTTTGGGCACATGAAGCATTACGTTTATTTCATGATCGGTAAGAAAGATAGTGAATAATTTCTTGTATATAAATATCTCTTTGAAATATTTAGATTGATATATGATTATGAACGTCA